TGATATCTGTGCGGTTATCATCAAGGCATCATTGTGTGGTCTCTCGACTTCCCCCACGTCTGCGGGTCCAAAGTTCATCACTGGCCCACTCTCGTCGACCTGCTGCACCTAAAGTTTCGTGTATCGGCCTCGAGCGTACGCCTTCCTTGCTCGATTGGAATCTCCGTCTGTCGACCCTCCAAAAATCATGTTAATTACCCCCCTCTTTGGTGGGAGCTCCTCCTTTTCTGGTGATCTCGCCCTCTTGCGAGGACTCTTACTTCTTTCTCGACTCCTGCTTGACCTCTCGCGATGTTTGTATATGAACTCCTTCAAGTGGTCTGCCTTTATCAACCTCTCAATCTCGTCTTTCAGGTGTCGGCAATCGTCAGTGTTGTGCCCGTAATATTTGTGAAATCGACAATATAAGTTGCTTTTGGGCTTCATCGGTCCATCCTTCCTTGTCCGCGGCCATCTCACCACATCGTCGCGGATCTCCCTTTCCATTACTTCCATAATTCTTGCGTGGGGGGGCTGACAGGGGTGTGTATTGAATCGGCCTCCATCCTCTAGATCGTCCTTCACACCTATCAGCTCGCGGTGATCCTCTTCTTTCTCCTGTCGACTGGCTCTTCTTCTGCTTTTTGTCGTCTCGACCATCAGTTTGGGACATTTTCATGCTTTGCAAGTAGTCGGCCTCTGCTTCTTCGACATTCATATACTTGGCACACCTCCCCAAAACGTCATCAAAACTCCTACCAGGTCGTTTGGCCAATGAGTTCTTACGTAACCCTGGTAGGAGTCCTCTCGTTAGTCTTCCTGATTTGATTTCCTCTGTTGCCGTTGGGCACTCGACACACACCTTTGTAAACCTCGCCACATACTCTCGCAACGACTCGCCCTTCTTCTGCTGCATGCTAATCAACGAGAGGTAAGACTTCTCTTGCACCCTTACACTTGCAAATTGGTTAAGAAAGCTCGAGCTGAAGCCATCGAAATCCTTAATCGACCCAGCGGGTAACTGGTGAAACCAGTCCTGGGCCGACCCTGTCAGAGTCGTCAAGAAAGCGCGACATTGCACTGGGTCACTGTAGCGGTGGAGCACTGCCATATTTTCGAAACTCCTCAAATGTCGAGACGGGTCAGTGGAGCCATCATACCATATGTTCAATTCCCTGAAGCCTTTAGGTAAGTCGGCTCTCAGGATCTACAGCGAGAATGGATGTTCTTTTGCTCCTCTGTTCTTCTTCCTCCCGACTCGAGCCTGCAAGTCGCGGACCTGGGCCAACAACTGTTCCAACGTCTCGTCCCTCGCTTGCGGATTGATAGTTCGAATGGAGGATTCCTCCTTGTCCACCCTTCTGTTCTGCTGTACGTTTGACTGAGCTTGTTGTTCGACACGAGGTTGTTGCTCGACCCGAGGCGGGTACTCGACACGAGGCTGCTGCTCGACCTGCACGACCTGCTTCATCTGCGTGGCCACGGCTTCGACGATCATCTTTTGCATTGCACTCCTCGTCACTGTCAAGATCTGCTCCTCGACGCGGGGTTATGTCTGCTCCGGTACCTCCTGTATCTGCTTTCCCTCGCGTCGAGACATCTCCGTTGGTTCCTTCTCTCCATCTGGATTAGGGTCTTGACTTGTTCCTGCCTGGGTCATCACTTGCAGCTTCACTCCGGTTGGAGTGACGGGAGTTTCTCCACCCAACGTCATCCCCGGTGGTGGGGGTCCTCCAAATGGTGGCATCCCCATCATCTGCATCATTGGGTGTTTAGGGGCGGAGTGTGGTGGTGGCCCCTTATCCATCCATGCTCCCCTAAACTCCTCGTTCAGGTTCCTCTGCAAACCTTCCTTCTCCGCCATCAGCAAACAGATCGGAGCTAGGTGCAAAGCTCTTAGTTCCTTCAAAAGCTCCCCACAGACAGCGCCAATATGATGGGTCTACTTCCAGATCTAGAGTAAACCGGTGGATTTGAGCTCAGATCTGCTTGAACCGCCTCTGAATCGTTGCTAGACCGCGGGATACCTGCAAAAACTCAACGCCGGAGGTGTTTCCGGCGTAGAACCTCCGACGCTCAAGTCAGTATGAAGAGATGTAGTGAGGCTGCGCAGCAGCTATGGGGGAGTGTGGAGAATGAATGAAAGTTAGAGGCTGCGCAGCAGCTATGGGGGAGTGTGGAGAATGAATGAAAGTTAGGATTTGGGGTTACCTCACCTCCTTTATATAGGAGTGAATACTTAGTTGAAGTACCCAGAATGCCTAAGTCGGTGGACCTAAAAGGTCCAAATTGTCCCGGTCGGTTCGTCTCCCCTTGCTGCTGAGTCATCACAAGATTCCTTCTTATCCTTTGGAATATGTAGAGCTTTAAGTATGTTGCAAGTGTGATGAGTCTTCATCACATCTTTGATCTTCGCGATATACAGAGTCGACCTCGAGAGCTAGGAGGTCGACTTGTGATCATATGAGGATTCGGAGGCTACGCTTGACTAGTTCCCTCGAGTGGAAGTCGTCTTCAGAGAATCGTCTTAGTGAAGTCGACTACTGGGAGTCGACTTAGAGTATCTGGATGCTCAGGAGCTATGCTCTTGTTGTTCTTCTTATACAGATGTCGACTAATGGAAGTCGACAGACTGAGGTCGACTTGTGAGAGTCGACTGGACAGATTTCTGCCCCTTCTCGGTCACTCTTTGTAGATTCGACTTGATGAAAGTCGATTTGCGTATGTTGACGGGAACATATCGTCCTGTAGACGGTCTGCGTGGTTACCCGGTCAAGTTAGGGGCTTTAGAACCGGTATATGATAATATGGCTATATCAAAATGCGTGGCCCACAAAACAAATAAATAAGTGCAATGTGAATTCCCCTTTTCCCGTAGAGCTCCCAAGCTAAAAATATTTTGCTTTCTTTTTTTTTTTTTAGCAAACATTACCAGCCCATTAAAATGAAAGTGGGCCTAATTCAAGTATCATTAGCCTAACTCCGATAGTTAATCACGTGAATCCCGTCCAATAATTTGCGTGCACAAATTGCTCCAAAATACTGAAAATAACACATACAACATTAAAGCAAATAAATCTATCTAAATAATAAATAGGTCGAAAAATATAAATGTGCAAATAAATTTAGTGTATAAAAATACACTATTAAATATATAAAATATGCACATTTTTAGACCTATCAATATTAGGATATGATTGCTGAAACTATGAACATGCATTACGTTCGCTTCATTACTTAGTTTATCGAGAATCTTTTGAAATAGGACCCTTAGGTTTTTATTTGACCTTCCATTTTCATAAGTTGCAAATATGAAATTATATGTAGCACATGGTGATAGGCCGAAAAATATGCATGCTTTATATGTTTAATAGTGTATTTTTATACGCTTAATTTTTTCGCACATTTATATTTTTCGACCTATTTATTATTTGGATGAATTTATTTTCTTTTATTATTTTATATTTATTTTCAGCTTTTTGAAATATTTTGTGGATGCGGAGCATTGGACGGAAATTCACGTGAGCTATTGTCGTGCGGCCCAATACCAGAGAATGAAGGCCACGTATGGATTAATATGTGCTGGGTTATTTAGTGACTAAAGGCCCAAAACATTACCAAGTTGATGGAAATAAATCATGGATGGAAGCAATTTAATTTGATGAGTTGATACACGTGGCCAGCAAAACTAAATGGAGGAGAATTTGAGTCTTGAGGGGAATTATCATTGGCTTAGAGTAGGACTCATTACGGGGATTAATTGGCAGCCATATATATTTTGCTGGAGGGAATTATTTTGTAGGATATATTATGGAAAAAGAATTGCGTGAGCAGAGAGACATTATTTGACGGAAGAAAAAAAGCCGAGATAAAAGAAACGCAGGGAGAGACAGAAAAGAAAAAGACAGACGCGCACGAAGAAGACCGCACAGACAGAGAAAGAGGCATCGCGGAGGGAAGCCGCACCGCACACGAGGGAGATATTTTTATCTTCTCTCTTTTATCTTTTTATTTATTTTTATTAGTATGTTAGACTAGTATTTTTATCCAGTTTGAGGGGATGTTTGAACCCTAACTTTGATTTGTCTATGGATTGAAGGATTTATTTTTATCGTTGATTAATCGAGACGCCGTATTTATTGTTGTTGATGAGTTGAATCATGTTATCTGTGTATAATGTTTATGAATTATGGTGTTTAATTTAGTCTGGCCAACTACGTTAAATATTCATAGTTTAATTGCTAGATTCGGGACTTTAATCCGTAATTGTTATTGTCTCGGTTTGTTAGTAGTAAACTAGGGGTCGTGCATCTCTAGGGTAGCGTGAACATAAGTTAAATGGTCCGAGCTTTTGCGTCCATTGCTTAGATCAATCTATTTTCCTAGTAATTAATGCTGCTAGTGTATTAAATCTAGAGAGCTTATTCTAGGTTGTCCGCTAGTTAGGTTTAGTCGAAGAGCCTATTTCGATTAAATATTCGGTAAGGGAAAATTCGGTTAACAGAGCTTGTTGTTAGCTAGGGTTGGTAATTCGTTAGCAATTTAGAGAAAGCGTCAAAATTAATTAACGGTAGATTTAGATTGGGTGATAACTGAACCAAAAACTGGACTTCTCTTATTTTATTAGATTTTTATTTTATTTTCTTATTGTTATTTTTATTTTTATAAAACCAATTCTCCCCCATATTTTATTGCTTTCCTAGTTTAATTCAATTAATACGAGATTGTCACAATTTAATTCCTGCTCCTCGTAGGATCGACCCTTACTCGCCGCTACTACTAGTTAGTAGAGGTTTGTTAACGAAAAATTATAAATTTAAATTTGTCGTGTTGCGACGCGCGGTCACATGGATATGTATATATCTACTTCTTTCCATTCTTACCAACTGTTGTATCTGCCTTCTCATACTAATCACATTTATATTTTTTATACCCTAAATATCTAAATCACATCTGAACTTGCTAATGCTTCTCCTAACAGAGGACGGTAAACATGCTTTTATGCACTTGACTTTACTTGACTCACTCTTTGTTCGTCGGATAAGTCTAAATTCCTTTGGTACAAGAGACAAAATATTTTTTTTAAGGGATGTTTTTCTTGTCTGCTTTCCCCATTCGTAGTAACTCAAGTTGTTGCTTTGAATGTTGTTTAATATTCTGCATTAAGCCATTAATGATTGAATGGGACTGTTTGTAAGTACACTGAACCTTGGGGTGTGTAATTTTGTGATAAGCCAAATCTTAATGCATATAAAGTTTATTACTAGTTAGCCTTTTTTAGAAGATACATGTCTCTGCTTTTATTTCGGTTGCCCATTAACAATTATGTTTAAATCCGTTGATAATGCAGATGTTGGGTGAAAATTTGTACTTGTTTGAATTTCATACACATAGTTGGCCTCTAAAAATCAATGAATGGAGTTCTTCACCCCTTAATTAGTAGTTCTCTGCTGTTCTCAACATCCTGTTGTTCACCTCAGGATTTGCTGATGTCCTCTGCAGCTGCCTTCATTTCGAGCAAGGCATCCTCGAAACACTTGGCCAAAACTTTTGGATCTGGGATTATGTCTTTGGCAACTAGAATTTGCAGATCAGCTATTCCTGCATAACTCACCATATGCATTGTGATTGCCTGCACATATATATTTATTTCTTAATAAAATAAATTAACTAAAAGCCATTCTAAAACTTGGCAAGAGTAAAACATAAACTCGCAGTTGAAAATAATTTATACATGTGGTAGACTGCTCGAAGTAACCCTTATGTGCTTCACAGGGTTGCCAACCATCGTGATTTTCTCTTGGGGCCCTATAACATTTGATATCGTGAAGGTTGTATTACAAACGATCCGGTAATTGAGAAGGCAAGCTATCTGCACGCCAAAAAAACACCCAACTATCCATCAATGTTGTGACTTCAATTCTTTTAATTTTTGCTAGAGACTGGTGGCGTTCATTGTTAGACATTTAGGCTATGTTTGGTTAAGCTAGCTGATAGCTTATCAGTAATTTTTGAGCTTATAGCTGAAAAGTTAGCTTATATGATAAAAAGTGTTTGGTAAAATTAGCTGATAAGCTAGTTGAAATAAAAATTTCAACGAGCTTATTTGAAAAGCTACCCAAAGAAGCTTATCAAATAAGCTCGAGCTTTTTCATAAAAACTCGTCCCACCAAACGGAGCTTATTTAAAAACATGCAGCTTAAGCTAACCAAATAAGCTATTAGCTAGCTTATTTGTCTGCCAAACATAGCCTTACAATAACTCGTACTTGTTAAGGAAAGGGGTTACAATTCGACATTTTCAATTAAGCGAGAGTATTTTACCTTTGCACCAAAAATAGACATGACGAGGTCCCCAACTTTGTACGAGAAGGGGGCTTCTAGTGACAGCTTTTTCTTGTCGATCATGGCTTTGGCTCTCCTCACAAACTGGATTGGATCCGAACCACCTTTGTGATAATAAATAGGTAAGAGAAGCATGCCGAATTTGTTGCCCCACCGAATTCCAGATTTACTATCCATAAGCTTTGACAAGTCCTGAAATGTATTGATGCAATTCAGCAAAAAAGAATAAAATAGAATAAAAACAAAAAATCTATTTGTCTTGGCTCACTTAGACCTGCAGTCCTGCTTGCGGCCTCAGATTGACCATGCCAACACCTGTGATCCGGAGGCCCTCGGGAAGAGCTACATGAAACAATTAAGCTAAAGTTACTATATGAATAAGTAGGATTACACTATTATGTATTTGGATGCCTGCTTTGAATAGTTGGTGACAAGAAATTATACTGAAGTTGTTTACCTTTGGGTGAGTTAATGTCCAAATACCTCGAAAGCCCACGTGAGATAACCCCGAAAAGAACATCATTGATTGTCTGCATGCCATCATATTCATTTTTTCATTTCAAATTCAACTAATCTTTTTAGTATTCTAAAGCTATATATAACATGCAAATTGATTACTTGAGAGCAAATGGACACAAGCCATATATCTAGAGCAATGTGGCCTGACCTCTTTTTAGCTTTCATTGAAGAACAAGTGATGATTATATGGAACGATACTATTCATGAACACTTCTGGTTTGTTATTCATAATAACTAGTACAGATCCCGTGCGATGCACGGGGTGCACAAAATTAAGACTATTTATCAAGTCTTATAATTATATAAATGAATAAAAAAAATGTACGGGATATAAATAGTACGTGACTTGTAATAGGCCAAAATGTGAACACGGGTGATGCACGGGGTGCACAATTTTAAGGTCATTTATTAGTACAGAGTCCGTGCGATGCACGGGGTGCACAATTTTCTAGTATGTGTAATACAAATACATACCGTATGCACGGGACAGAAGCACTAAATGAGTTACTTCCACATAGCTTGCCCGTTAAGTAGCTCCTGAACACGGGTGCACAATTTGTAGTACGTACTATAAAATCAGAACAGATTTCCATACATTTAGATAATAAATTAGATTATAAATAAAGCCTTTTTTATGTTAGTAAAGATTTTACGTACTTTTTTTTACTTATCGGATGTTATGGGATTTTTTTTGTTAAACCGATTTTATGGGATATGATACAAATACAATTAGAGGATTGAACAAAATCAGAACAGATTTCTATACAATTAGATAATAAGAAGGAATTACATAAGGAAAAGAAGAAATTAGATAAAGAACTTTGAATCTACCTTTTTTTAGTATAGATAGACTTTACGTACAAATTTTGACTTCACCGATTTTATGAGATTTGTTTTGACAAAATCAAAGATGAATACTGAAGACTGTTTTTATTAACATTTACAATGTGTATTTAATGTTTTTTTTGGCAAAATATTCTTTTTAAGTGTGATATATAAATATTAAAAATACTTAAAATATTTTATAACATCTATAAAAGCATCTAAAATATTCTATATTATTCACAAATAATGTTTGAAACTACCTAATAATGTTCGGAGAGCTTCATTAATTTAAAAGTGTAAAATAAATAAATAAATAAATGTACAACTGAAAAAGTTACAACCAATTGTATGGAGAATTAAACTAAATCTACTTTTGCAGGATACATTAAATATTGATTAAATTTTATATGTAAAATAAAAAAAAAATAACTGGAATAGTTTTACGTGTTGCAATATTTTATATTTAAAAAATTAAAAAATCTTCTTTTACGTATTGCATACCAACATTTTAGGAACTACATGGATATTTCTAAATTAATATTGCATATCCAATATTTTAGGAATTAATTAAATGCTAATTTGATTTGCATACCAAAAATATTAGATGCATTAATTAAATGATTGATAAAAATAGCAAATCATTAATTAAGGTTGACTTTTCAACCTGCTATATTTCGTTAATACCATCCCTTATAATATAAGTATAGATCTCAGGCTTGTTTTGGAAGCAGACTTTAAATACAACGAGAGCACAAACTACAGTAAGCGGTCAACGCCGTAAGTCAATGGTGAAATCAATATTTAACCAATTAAAAAAATAAAAATATTAAATCTTGATCAGACACCTTATTTCTTATTTAATAGTTAAGATTAAGTTTCACATTCTCATTTAAAGAATTGAGACGCGTTTGATCCAATCCCTATATAGTATAAACATTTATGTATAATAATTGTTTGTTTATGTATTTTAAGAGGGAAAAGGAATTAAACAATGAGTTGGGTATAACATAAACATAAATTGCACAACTTAAAATATAACATACTATTTAAAGTTAAATAATTCTAAATATTTCTATTTTATTTTTTTTATGTTGAAATAACTTTACATAATAATTAATAACATGTATTTTTTTAATGAATATAATAATACATTTATATATAATAATATATATATATATATATATATAT